GGTGGGTGGTGGGGGGGGGTGATTTGTTCCTTGGTTATACATATTTGTTCCAAAGGCTTTATTTTTCTTTTTTCAGTTGGGGAGATGGGGGGGTAGAGGAGGGAGTACAGGTGGATTTCAGTCTATTAAAGAAAATTTTAAATTAATTTAAAAAAAGGAAATGGGGGGGTGGTATATTTGGACATGATGCTTTCTTGCCTTATCATCAGCCAGTGACCCTGGACACTCACTGTCCAGTTCAGCTGACTAAGGGAGGGGGGCAGAGGAATTTGCTTTATGTTCTTACATAGACAAACCAAACAGGACCACGAAAACACTGTAGCCTGTCGGGCTGTGAAGCCATTCAATAAATCAACAAGCATTTGCTAGCTGGCTACTAGGTGCCTGATTCTGTTCTAGGGCCTAGGGATGCAAAAACAACGAATGAAATAATCCTGACTCACAGGAAGCCTTCATCTGAATGGAGAATGAGAAGCTGCTCAGGATTGCACTAAGACTTCTGGGACACCCAGCATAGGCACAGAGGGAATGAACAAGTGGCAGAAGAGGCCTCAAAATATATTTTAGAAACCATCCTAAACCACACAAACTCCAAATGTCCTCAAGTAAGAGGCGAAAAGGCCAAGAATAAGACAGCTGTCCCAGTGGTGAGGAGAAAATGGCCATCCACGCATGACTTTGAAAAGGGTAAGGATAGGAAAATGTCGGCGGATCAGGATGGCATTGGCCCATACCATCGGCTCTGATATCCAGGCTCCGAGAGGGCAGCTGCTGAAAATCTTTGCCAATTGAGTCACCTAAAGTTGCTTGGCACAGGCCGAAATTAGAGCACCAGCCTGGGTTTTATTTAAGTGGTTCTCCCGGGCAAAGAGCAGAGTGCCCTCCCCCCACCTCAAGCCCAGGGCTCATGGACAAGGCAGAAAGATTTTTCTGAGCTCTAAATTCTGTGAAATGAAAGATACTGATTTGAAAGGATTTAGGCAACTTGGCCAAGAGACAGAAGAATATGAATCTAAAACCAGTAAGCATGTCATTATTCAGCCAGACTCCATGTGATGAGTAAGCACTACAAGAAGGTGAGAAATAAGTATAATTCTTTGTAAACCAATCCAAATCCTACTGGCCACTTCCAGAGCAGACTAGCTGAACTGGGGGACAAAGGAGGGGTTACCATTTATTTTGTTCTTATCAGCTAGCAGAATACGCTAGGAAGGCTATGAATAATGTTAGAAGTTGCATTGGGGGGCCAGAGACAAGAGGCCTCATGGGAAGGAAGCCCACCAGCTCCTCAGTTCCACAACTAGGCTTCCAGTTTTCTTCCCAATTACTGCCTCTGACAAGCTGATGTGTCCATGTAGGGACTTGCCCAACTTGGATCAAGGGAGGGTGGTCCCTCTTTTCTTGGCAGAAGTGAGGGAGCAGAGGTGGGCAATACTCATTACACGTACCATCAGACTCAGGGGATGTTTTGGTTACTTTTGTCCCCCTCTTTTAAAATCTTATAATGGAGGGTTTCCTGGGCAGGGGAGGAGGGAGAGATTCAGAAATGAAAGTCATCCTAAAAATTATTGATAGCCTGAAAATATATCACTGTTTGGCAGAAAAGGCTGTAGGACATTTGATTTAATAATGCCCTGGGAGCAGGATATTAGGTCCCACCTAGATAACCCAGCCTCACAGATCTCTAAAATACGGGGCCCAGCTTTTGTGGAGGCCTAGGAGTTAATCTGTCAGTAGCGCAGTGTAGCGGAGAGACAGCTGGACCTGTTAATCAGGAAAGCACTGAATTTGGAGTCAGACAACCTGGGTCTGAATCCCAGCTCTATCAAGTCACTTTCCCTCCCTGGGCCTCAGTTTCTTCATCTGTAAGACGAAGGGGTTAGAACAGAAGAATCTACGATATTAAAATATTCTGAGGTACAAAGATTGTCCAAATGATTAGTTACCACAGAATAGTACCAAGGGCAAACAAAGAGCTATAAGAAGCCAAGAATCAGAGCTTTATGCCTCCTGAGACATCATCTGGTTCAACCCTTGGATTCCAGGCAGATCAAAATCAATTAACAAGTAGTTGTCAAGCTTTTAATAGGTCCTTGGAGATAAAGCAGGGGAAATGGTAGTCCTTAATTTCAAGGAAGGCAGAGAGAACATGAGGAAAGCAGAGACAGGTAAATGAGCAGAGTTTATATAGGAGACAGGGAACAAACCAAGAGCCTAGCTGGGAAGAGAGGATACTGGCTGACCACGGGGAAATAAGGTGGGATATCATGTCATTTGGGGCCAGATGAACCTCAAAGGCCAGGGAAAAGAGTTTATGCTCTATTGAGCTGTTAATAGGGACTCTCACTGTACATTCTTGGTCAGGGCAGGGACATGATTTTTTAAAATTTATTTTTGCGAGGCAGTCAGGGTGAAGTGACTTGCCCAGGGTCACAGAGCTAGTGTCAAGTGTCTGAGGCCGGATGTGAACTCAGGTCCTCTTGATTCTAAGGCTGGTGCTCTATCCACTGCGCCACCTAGCTGCCCTGGGGTAGTGACATGATAAAAGCAATATTTTAGAAAGACTGAGCTGGCAAAAGAGTCTGAACTTGATTGTGTAGGCAGTGAGAGCCTACAGGGGGAGTGACATGAAGAAAATGAATTTTTATGAAGACTAAGCTAGCAGTGGTAGAGAGGCCAGATGGGTTTGGAATGGGGTAAAACAGGGA